TTTTCTGTTCTCCTACGGCAGTCCAAATTGATTTCGACCTCGATTAAGATACAATAGGTTATTATCAATATTCTAGTGAAAAAATAAAGTTCGCACATGGCCTATTCACTGAAATATTTCGAAAATTCTGTCAAAATTGACTGATTATATTTTCTTACTGTTCTCCTACGGCAGTCCAAATTGATTTCGACCTCGATTGAGATACAATGGATTCTTATCAATATTCTAGTGAAAAAATAAAGTTCGCACATGGCCTATTCACTGAGATATTTCGAAAATTCTGTCAAAATTGACAGATTATATTTTTTTTCTGTTCTCCTACGGCAGTCCAAATTGATTTCGACCTCGATGGAGATACAATGGATTATTATCAATATTCTAGTGAAAAAATAAAGTTCGCACATGGCCTATTTACTGAGATATTTCGAAAATTCTGTCGAAATTGACAGATTATATTTTTTTTCTGTTCTCCTACGGCAGTCCAAATTGATTTCGACCTCGATGGAGATAAAATGGATTATTATCAATATTCTAGTGAAAAAATAAAGTTCGCACATGGCCTATTCACTGAAATATTTCGAAAATTCTGTCAAAATTGACTGATTATTTTTTTTCTGTTCTCCTACGGCAGTCCAAATTGATTTCGACCTCGATTAAGATACAATAGGTTATTATCAATATTCTAGTGAAAAAATAAAGTTCGCACATGGCCTATTCACTGAAATATTTCGAAAATTCTGTCAAAATTGACAGATTATATTTTTTTTCTGTTCTCCTACGGCAGTCCAAATTGATTTCGACCTCGATGGGGATACAATGGATTATTATCAATATTCTTGTGAAAAAATAAAGTTCGCACATGGCCTATTTACTGAGATATTTCGAAATTTCTGTCAAAATTGACAGATTATATTTTTTTTCTGTTCTCCTACGGCAGTCCAAATTGATTTCGACCTCGATGGGGATACAATGGATTTTTATCAATATTCTAGTGAAAAAATAAAGTTCGCACATGGCCTATTCACTGAAATATTTCGAAAATTCTGTCAAGATTGACTGATTATATATTTTTTCTGTTCTCCTACGGCAGTCCAAATTGATTTCGACCTCGATTGAGATACAATGGATTATTATCAATATTCTTGTGAAAAAATAAAGTTCGCACATGGCCTATTTACTGAGATATTTCGAAAATTCTGTCAAAATTGACAGATTATATTTTTTTCTGTTCTCCTACGGCAGTCCAAATTGATTTCGACCTCGATGGGGATACAATGGATTATTATCAATATTCTTGTGAAAAAATAAAGTTCGCACATGGCCTATTTACTGAGATATTTCGAAAATTCTGTCAAAATTGACAGATTATATTTTTTTTCTGTTCTCCTACGGCAGTCCAAATTGATTTCGACCTCGATGGAGATACAATGGATTATTATCAATATTCTAGTGAAAAAATAAAGTTCGCACATGGCCTATTTACTGAGATATTTCGAAAATTCTGTCAAAATTGACAGATTATATTTTTTTTCTGTTCTCCTACGGCAGTCCAAATTGATTTCGACCTCGATGGAGATAAAATGGATTATTATCAATATTCTAGTGAAAAAATAAAGTTCGCACATGACCTATTTACTGAGATATTTCGAAAATTCTGTCAAAATTGACAGATTATATTTTTTTTCTGTTCTCCTACGGCAGTCCAAATTGATTTCGACCTCGATGGAGATACAATGGATTATTATCAATATTCTAGTGAAAAAATAAAGTTCGCACATGGCCTATTTACTGAGATATTTCGAAATTTCTGTCAAAATTGACAGATTGTATTTTTTTTCTGTTCTCCTACGGCAGTCCAAATTGATTTCGACCTTGATGGAGATACAATGAATTATTATCAATATTCTAGTGAAAAAATAAAGTTCGCACATGGCCTATTTACTGAGATATTTCGAAAATTCTGTCAAAATTGACAGATTATATTTTTTTTCTGTTCTCCTACGGCAGTCCAAATTGATTTCGACCTCGATGGGGATACAATGGATTATTATCAATATTCTAGTGAAAAAATAAAGTTCGCACATGGCCTATTTACTGAGATATTTCGAAAATTCTGTCAAAATTGACAGATTATATTTTTTTTCTGTTCTCCTACGGCAGTCCAAATTGATTTCGACCTCGATGGGGATACAATGGATTATTATCAATATTCTTGTGAAAAAATAAAGTTCGCACATGGCCTATTTACTGAGATATTTCGAAAATTCTGTCAAAATTGACAGATTATATTTTTTTTCTGTTCTCCTACGGCAGTCCAAATTGATTTCGACCTCGATGGAGATACAATGGATTATTATCAATATTCTAGTGAAAAAATAAAGTTCGCACATGGCCTATTTACTGAGATATTTCGAAATTTCTGTCAAAATTGACAGATTATATTTTTTTTCTGTTCTCCTACGGCAGTCCAAATTGATTTCGACCTCGATGGAGATACAATGGATTATTATCAATATTCTAGTGAAAAAATAAAGTTCGCACATGGCCTATTTACTGAGATATTTCGAAAATTCTGTCAAAATTGACTGATTATATTTTTTTTTCTGTTCTCCTACGGCAGTCCAAATTGATTTCGACCTCGATGGAGATACAATGGATTATTATCAATATTCTAGTGAAAAAATAAAGTTCGCACATGGCCTATTTACTGAGATATTTCGAAAATTCTGTCAAAATTGACTGATTATTTTTTTTTCTGTTCTCCTACGGCAGTCCAAATTGATTTCGACCTCGATTAAGATACAATAGGTTATTATCAGTATTCTAGTGAAAAAATAAAGTTCGCACATGGCCTATTCACTGAAATATTTCGAAAATTCTGTCAAAATTGACAGATTATATTTTTTTTCTGTTCTCCTACGGCAGTCCAAATTGATTTCGACCTCGATGGGGATACAATGGATTATTATCAATATTCTTGTGAAAAAATAAAGTTCGCACATGGCCTATTTACTGAGATATTTCGAAAATTCTGTCAAAATTGACAGATTATATTTTTTTTTCTGTTCTCCTACGGCAGTCCAAATTGATTTCGACCTCGATGGGGATACAATGGATTTTTATCAATATTCTAGTGAAAAAATAAAGTTCGCACATGGCCTATTCACTGAAATATTTCGAAAATTCTGTCAAGATTGACTGATTATATATTTTTTCTGTTCTCCTACGGCAGTCCAAATTGATTTCGACCTCGATTGAGATACAATGGATTATTATCAATATTCTTGTGAAAAAATAAAGTTCGCACATGGTCTATTCACTGAGATATTTCGAAAATTCTGTCAAAATTGACAGATTATATTTTTTTTTCTGTTCTCCTACGGCAGTCCAAATTGATTTCGACCTCGATTAAGATACAATGGATTATTATCAATATTCTTGTGAAAAAATAAAGTTCGCACATGGCCTATTTACTGAGATATTTCGAAAATTCTGTCAAAATTGACAGATTATTTTTTTTTCTGTTCTCCTACGGCAGTCCAAATTGATTTCGACCTCGATTGAGATACAATGGATTATTATCAATATTCTAGTGAAAAAATAAAGTTCGCACATGGCCTATTCACTGAAATATTTCGAAAATTCTGTCAAAATTGACTGATTATATTTTCTTACTGTTCTCCTACGGCAGTCCAAATTGATTTCGACCTCGATTGAGATACAATGGATTCTTATCAATATTCTAGTGAAAAAATAAAGTTCGCACATGGCCTATTCACTGAGATATTTCGAAAATTCTGTCAAAATTGACAGATTATATTTTTTTTCTGTTCTCCTACGGCAGTCCAAATTGATTTCGACCTCGATGGGGATACAATGGATTATTATCAATATTCTTGTGAAAAAATAAAGTTCGCACATGGCTTATTTACTGAGATATTTCGAAAATTCTGTCAAAATTGACAGATTATATTTTTTTTCTGTTCTCCTACGGCAGTCCAAATTGATTTCGACCTCGATGGAGATACAATGGATTATTATCAATATTCTTGTGAAAAAATAAAGTTCGCACATGGCCTATTTACTGAGATATTTCGAAAATTCTGTCAAAATTGACAGATTATTTTTTATTCTGTTCTCCTACGGCAGTCCAAATTGATTTCGACCTCGATTAAGATACAATAGGTTATTATCAATATTCTAGTGAAAAAATAAAGTTCGCACATGGCCTATTCACTGAAATATTTCGAAAATTCTGTCAAAATTGACTGATTATATTTTTTTACTGTTCTCCTACGGCAGTCCAAATTGATTTCGACCTCGATTGAGATACAATGGATTCTTATCAATATTCTAGTGAAAAAATAAAGTTCGCACATGGCCTATTTACTGAGATATTTCGAAAATTCTGTCAAAATTGACGGATTATATTTTTTTCTGTTCTCCTACGGCAGTTCAAATTGAGTTCGACCTCGATTTAGATACAATAGGTCATCGATATTCTAGTGAAAAAATCTGCTTCGCACATGGCCTATTAACAGAGCCATTTCTGAAATTCTGTCAAAATTCACAGATTCTATAGATTTTTCGAACTCCAAAATCATTTCCCTCATAATTTGTTAGAAATCAATAATTATGAGTCAAGTATTACTGATGAATAATGCCAAAAAACTTTCAAGTAGAGAAGACAATCTAATAGGTTCAGATTATTTTCAAATCATGTAAGCACCCAATATGTACCCAAAATGCTATGAGAAGTCCTATTAGTAGCTAAAATTGAACAAATAGGGAAAAGGTATGTGGCTAAATAACATGTAAAACCGTGGATGGGAAATAAAACCGTGGATGGGAGATAAAACCGTGGCTGAGAAATCTGGCAACGCCGCACGCGATTTTGCCTCTATCTCACTTTCGACATTCTACACGTCATAAAGCGTGGCCAGAAAATCGTGGATAACTTCACACTAACTTATAATTCCTGTCTTATTATTTTATTCTAGGTAATAAAATGTGAATCTGCCAATGGCTCACTTTCAGTGGCTGCTGGAAACTATGACAAGCTATTGAAATGTATGGAAGGGTAAGTCTTTCTCTTGAATTTTCTATTGATAGGCATCAAAAATACCATCAATTTCATTCAAGTGTTAGGGTACGATTGGATGATAATGGAGATGTAACTTGGACTGCTCCTGAAGAACTGAAATCTGTACCATTGTTCACCTGTGAGACTTATGAACTTCACAGTACCTGTGGAAGATCTGGATTGGTTTTACGCTTTGGTGCATATGCTGGGCATGTTTTTGAATTCAGAGTAAGCATTTAGAAATGCTATTTAGCATGTACATAAAATTGTTTGGTGAATATGTGTGAAGCAAGGTGTGAAGAGTTATTCTACCAGTGCAAGTTAGGCATTAAGTTGTTGCACCTATTGGGGAAAATAGCAGGTCATCCATGAGTTCTCTGGAATATTTACTTCATATGAAGGAATATTGGGATCTCAAAGGGCATAACCTAATTCACTATGGATTTCCATCCAGTAACAGCTGTATCAATTATAAAAAAACCTAATTGAGAATTACCTTGCACAATTTTGCCAAAATCTTCACCAAAATCTTCTCTGGAAAATATTGTTGCTCCAACCTGACCTTCAAACCTATCAACCTACAGGTTGACACCAAGGGCCATTTCACCAATGTAGATTTTGGACACCAATTCCCATTAATTTCCAGATTAAATTTACATAATCCCTCTTAGTTTCCTTTTAATTCCCACAATTCCCCTCAAATTCTCTCATCATCAAAGAGAAGATAAATTCCAACAAATCGCTTCAGTGATTCACAATTCCCCTTGAATTCTCATATAATTTTCCTCTAATTCCTATTGAATACTGAATATTTCTTATGAGTTTCCATCACTTGTACCTTGTACAGGGTGGCCAACTAAGACTCCAGAGTTCGATTTCTCTGTTGTCTTGAGAGATACAAACAAAATTCAATATCAAAATTGAAGTAATAATCAAGCTTCACATTTCAAAATTTCTTGGAAATACACAGGGTGTCCCGTAAGGTCACAGCACATCAAAGCTATGTTTTTGTCATCGGAACACCCTATATTTTATTTCATTTTTGAATTCTTCCTGAAGATCTGATTTCAACAACCCATCAAACTTAGGGTCTAGCAGTGAAAGTTACTGACATATAGGGTGTGCAAAATCGAGATTTTACAAGTTCAGGATTTTTTTCTGTCGAAACTGTTCATTATTTGTCAAAACGGTTTACATGTCCCTATCTCAACTTTTCACTCACTATTAATTGGTGTTCAATTGAAATTGATACAAGGAGGTCAAAAATCTCAATTTATAATTTGTTTCAATTAAATGTCAATTGAACACCAATTGATAGTGAGTGAAAAGTTGAGATAGGGACATGTAAACCGTTTTGACGAATAATGAACAGTTTCGACAGAAAAAAATCCTGAACTTGGAAAATCTCGATTTTGCACACCCCTATATGTCAGTAACTTTCACTGCTAGACCCTAAGTTTGATGGGTCGTTGAAATCAGATCTTCAGGGAGAATTCAAAAATGAAATAAAATATAGGGTGTTCCGATGACAAAAACATAGCTTTGATGTGCTGTGACCTTACGGAACACCCTGTGTATTTTCAAGAAATTTTGAAATGTGAAGCTCGGTTATTACTCTCAATTTTGATACATGAATTTTTTTTGTATCTCTCAAGACAACAGAGAAATCGAACTCTGGAGTCTTAGTCGGCCACCCTGTACATTATAATTCCCCTTTGTTGATAGCATTAGCTGAACAGTTGTGGGTTATAAGATATTTTGAAAAAAGACATAGATAAAACCAAGAAAGGGACACAGTTGGGATAATATGGTATATAGGGTATTATTTGAGTCAGTGGGTAAAATTCGAGAGATGATTTTTCAGATGGTAAAATGAAAATTTAATATTAGGAACATATTTCTGGAAATAAAGTTATCCAGTATTTCTAGTGGTATGAGTTGGAAATGTTATACATTGAGTTGTTCATCCTGTTCCACATATTCCTGGATGTTGACATTGCATTCCACATCTTAGAACCACTCAAAGAATCAGCCCTTGAAGTTTAGTCACAAACAGCCTATATTATAGGTAATATGAAAGCAATTGAAGAAGAAAGATTTCAAAATTTTAAGAAATGTGTACAGATTTGAAAACCTCAGGATCCAGATTAGTGTGAAGTTATCCACAAACCTTCATCCACAAATTCTGACGTAGGGGAAATTTTCTATGATGCAGCGATTTAATCTTATACAGTGTTGCCACATCAATTTTTTTTTGTGAGTATGGGAAAGTACTTGAACGAAATATTTACAAACCAGTATGTTTAACAAAACTGGAAAAAGTCATTGAGTGCTAGATTGGGAAAAACTTGAGAAATATTTATTTTCTTGGAAACTACGACGTGTTCCGTCATGACATTTTCACAGAGTGTTCATTACATTGAACGAAATGATTCAGTCGATAGAAAAAGTTGTGCCAAACCGTAGGCCGGGAGCTATGTTGAAAAAACTTGAAAAATATTTATTTTCTTGGAAACTACGACGTGTTCCGTCATGAAATTTCTACAGAGTGTTCATGACATTGAAAGAAATGATTCAGTCGATGAAAAAAGTTGTGTCAACCCGTAGGCCTGGTGCTTAGTTGAAGAAACTTGAAAAATATTTATTTTCTTGGAAACTACGGCGTGTTCCGTCATGAAATTTCTACAGAGTGTTAATGACGTTGAAAGAAATTATTCAGTCGATAGAAAAAGTTGTGCCAAACCGTAGGCCGGGAGCTATGTTGAAAAAACTTGAAAAATATTTATTTTCTTGGAAACTACGACGTGTTCCGTCATGAAATTTCTACAGAGTGTTCATGACATTGAAAGAAATGATTCAAGTCGATGGAAAAAGTTGTGTCAACCCGTATGCCTGGTGCTTAGTTGAAGAAACTTGAAAAATATTTATTTTCTTGGAAACTACGGCGTGTTCCGTCATGAAATTTCTACAGAGTGTTCATGACATTGAAAGAAATGATTCAGTCGATGAAAAAAGTTGTGTCAACCCGTAGGCCTGGTGCTTAGTTGAAGAAACTTGAAAAATATTTATTTTCTTGGAAACTACGGCGTGTTCCGTCATGAAATTTCTACAGAGTGTTAATGACGTTGAAAGAAATTATTCAGTCGATAGAAAAAGTTGTGCCAAACCGTAGGCCGGGAGCTATGTTGAAAAAACTTGAAAAATATTTATTTTCTTGGAAACTACGACGTGTTCCGTCATGAAATTTCTACAGAGTGTTCATGACATTGAAAGAAATGATTCAAGTCGATGGAAAAAGTTGTGTCAACCCGTATGCCTGGTGCTTAGTTGAAGAAACTTGAAAAATATTTATTTTCTTGGAAACTACGGCGTGTTCCGTCATGAAATTTCTACAGAGTGTTCATGACATTGAAAGAAATGATTCAGTCGATGAAAAAAGTTGTGTCAACCCGTATGCCTGGTGCTTAGTTGAAGAAACTTGAAAAATATTTATTTTCTTGGAAACTACGGCGTGTTCCGTCATGAAATTTCTACAGAGTGTTCATGACATTGAAAGAAATGATTCAGTCGATGAAAAAAGTTGTGTCAACCCGTAGGCCTGGTGCTTAGTTGAAGAAACTTGAAAAATATTTATTTTCTTGGAAACTACGGCGTGTTCCGTCATGAAATTTCTACAGAGTGTTCATGACGTTGAGAGAAATTATTCAGTCGATAAAAAAAGTTGTGCCAAACCGTAGGCCGGGAGCTATGTTGAAAAAACTTGAAAAATATTTATTTTCATGGAAACTACGGCGTGTTCCGTCATGAAATTTCTACAGAGTGTTCATTTCATTGATCGAAATGAATCAGTCGATAGAAAAAGTTGTGCCAAACCGTAGGCCGGGAGTTATGGTGAAAAACTTGAAAAATATTTATTTTCTTGGAAACTACGGCGTGTTCCGTCATGAAATTTCTACAGAGTGTTCATGACATTGAAAGAAATGATTCAGTCGATGAAAAAAGTTGTGTCAACCCGTAGGCCTGGTGCTTAGTTGAAGAAACTGGAAAAATATTTATTTTCTTGGAAACTACGGCGTGTTCCGTCATGAAATGTCTACAGAGTGTTCATTACATTGAGAGAAATGATTCAGTCGATAGAAAAAGTTGTGCCAAACCGTAGGCCGGGAGCTATGTTGAAAAAACTTGAAAAATATTTATTTTCTTGGAAACTACGACGTGTTCCGTCATAAAATTTTCACAGAGTGTTCATTACATTGAACGAAATGATTCAGTCGATAGAGGAAGTTGTGCCAAACCGTAGGCCGTGGGCTATGTTGAAAAAACTTGAAAAATATTAATTTTCTTGGAAACAACGGCGTGTTTTGTCATGAAATTTCTACAGAGTGTTCATGACATTGAAAGAAATGATTCAAGTCGATGGAAAAAGTTGTGTCAACCCGTATGCCTGGTGCTTAGTTGAAGAAACTTGAAAAATATTTATTTTCTTGGAAACTACGGCGTGTTCCGTCATGAAATTTCTACAGAGTGTTCATTACATTGAAAGAAATGATTCAGTCGATAGAAAAAGTTGTGCCAAACCGTTGGCCGGGAGCTATGTTGAAAAAACTTGAAAATATTTATTTTCTTGGAAACTACGGCGTGTTCCGTAATGAAATTTTTACATAGTGTTCATTTCATTGATCGAAATGATTCAGTCGATAGAAAAAGTTGTGCCAAACCGTAGGCCTGAAGCTATGTTGAAAAAACTTGAAAAATATTTATTTTCTTGGAAACTACGGCGTGTTCCGTCATGAAATTCCTACAGAGTGTTCATGACGTTGAAAGAAATTATTCAGTCGATAGAAAAAGTTGTGCCAAACCGTAGGCCGGGAGCTATGTTGAAAAAACTTGAAAAATATTCATTTTCTTGGAAACTACGACGTGTTCCGTCATGAATATTCTACAGAGTGTTCATGACATTGAAAGAAATGATTCAGTCGATGAAAAAAGTTGTGTCAACCCGTAGGCCTGGTGCATAGTTGAAGAAACTTGAAAAATATTAATTTTCTTGGAAACTACGGCGTGTTCCGTCATGAAATTTCTACTGAGTGTTCATTACATTGAAAGAAATGATTCAGTCGATAGAAAAAGTTGTGCCAAACCGTTGGCCGGGAGCTATGTTGAAAAAACTTGAAAATATTTATTTTCTTGGAAACTACGGCGTGTTCCGTAATGAAATTTTTACAGAG